CAGTCATGTACCAGTCAGAGGATTACGTACTGCTCGACACGCAAAATCTGCGATTGCCCGACGTACCGAAACTTCGATCGCGCTACTGTGGCCCATTCCAAATCAGCCACATGATCACGCTAGTAACCGCGCACCTACTGTTACCGACAGACTGGTAATCAGCCCTTCGTTGCACGTCAGCTTGCTTCGCCCATACATCCCAACCATAAGCCAACTGCCTCGCCACCGCCCGCCATCCATGACTCGCCCTGCATCGGAGCCGATCATCGAGCCCGAAAAAATCCTGAGCCATCGGATTCGCCACCCCACGGGAATCAGGAGGATTGAATTCCTCGTTCGCTGGAAGGACCGCACGCCAACTGAAGATAGCTGGGTGCCCCTGGCCAACATTAAAAACCACCCTGCCCTGCAAGTGTACCTGAGGAGCTGGGGATTCCGCGATATACATGCACTCGCGTAGCGGAGGGGGCTTCTTGAGGGGGGGGGTAGTGTAAGGAATTTTCTCGGCATTCCTTACGGAGCCCGACTACATCGCGTACAGCAACAGCCGTTGTTCGCCCGTTACTGCTAACGGGACTTCGCCAACTTGGCGCGCACTGTTTTGCCAAACCTCGCACTGCTGGCCCGGCCGTGTCGGCCTACGCTTCGGGACCATGGCAAATTTTTGGATTTGACATACCCTTAAGATCAGTGTACCCCTAGCTCAAAAAATTGATTATCACTGTGACCCCCTATAGAAAAACTTGCCCATCAGGGTTTTCTTAGCTTTTAAATAAATTACCCTTTTGCATCAATGTAAGGTTATTGTAAAGCATGGTCAGCTTATTTTTAATGCTTCATGCAATACAGATCCTACTCATCAGCAGACATGCCCCAAGGGTGTTCATCGTGGTCACTTTCCTCCTCTGGCTCTGGTGCCTTCTGCTTCCCCTTCCAAACCACAGGTTTCGCTGGCGCAACTGATTTCGGAGGCGTGCGCGTTTTCTGCTTGCGCCTGATGTCCACCACGTCTGGCCAGACGTAGGGGTACTTCAGCATGTGCAGCGTCATCAGGTCGCCAAGGCGTGCATCGCACAACGATGTACGCATCCAGCTCTTGATTATATTCTGGCGACTGTACCCTCTCTCACACTCCACTGTGCTCAGTGGCAGCACAGCGAGGGCCTGCCAGAGTGTCATTAGGTTCGGATAGTTGCGTCGCCAATCCCGGCTCTTCAACATGCTGTGAAGACCCTGGTGAAAATTTTCTCCCGCGTGATGGCGTGGCATGATGTGACAAAAGCTCCTCAGCTCCTTCTTGGCGGCCTTGAAATCGAATTTTGACGGAGAAGGGGTTTGGGGCGGTGGAAGTAGTTAGCGGTGGTTGTCCGATGTTGGGTGACATGCACGAGACAATATGTATCAAAGGAAATGAAAAATCACAACTCATCTGGTAGCATGCACCCAAACAGCTCGTCGTTTGCGGCCAGCCACTTGAGGGTCTTCAATTCGCGCTACTCATCTCTGCTTGGCCACGATTCAACTTGAAACAGCTTCGCGCCGCCCAACTGCTGCAAGTCCCACATGCGGTACTTCATGCGTGCGACAATTTCCTTCGCGAACCCTGTACATAGCTTCCCGCAGTCAGCAAGCGTGCCCCCAAACTTGTGCTTCTTGATTGGGGTCTCGCTCAGCTCGAACTTGTGTGATGTCTGCTGCCCCTTCGAGTCAATGCCTTCAACCACCACCGTCCGGTTGTCACCACCGTGCTGCTTAATGAACTTGGACAGGTGCTTGGTGGCCCCGCCGCCAAAGGTGTCGCCGTACTGGATGTAACGGTGAGTGATGATGGTGATCGTGTGGTCGTCTTCTTTGGCCACACGTGTGATGTCCACCTGGAACACAACGGGCACGTGAAACATGTTAGTCGAGGAATCTTTTAGTGTTACCACACTTGCAACCTGTAAAAATGGAAGTTGCCTTGCGGTGCTGGAAGAAGCGGTTGAGAGAGTTGAGTACAGCAAGAATGTCTACGAGGAAGTACAAACAGAAGTGAAATTTGAAGGTCTGTACTGTTGCAGCAATTTTCCTTACTCAACAATCATGACGATCGCCGCCCCAAGTACTCCGCATAGCCTCGCTATAGCATCTCCGCGTGATAGCCAACGCACGTTGAACAGTCCCTGGTGTTCAAGATTCGTCTTGTGTATCTCTTGTTGCAGCTCCTTGAATCTGTCGTACCAAATGTTGGAACGACAGATAATCTCTCCCACGGCTCGCACAGCAGCGTCGATCATGTTCAGGTCGGGAAAAGCCTTCGCAGCATCCTTGACCACGAGGGCTTCCCTGCAACACGTCCAAGTGGTAGATTAGTAAAGCTTAACGAGAACGGGTTTACAGCATCGCATGCGATTAATGTCAAAATCGCTTAAGCGAAGCTCACCGATGCGCGACGCAGTGACATCCGACGAGATGCGGCACGTGCTCTTGCAAACGGCTGACCAGGCCGTTCTTCTCCCCCGTCATCACAGAAGCTCCGTCGGTGCCGATGCCGGAAACCCGCTTGATGTCCACCCCAATAGACTCCAGGTGGCTTGTGAGCACAGTGAAAAGCGAGGAAGGGTCGCACTTGTGCACCGTCAGCAGCGCCACAAATTCCGTGACGGACACGCCGTTTTTGAGGAAGGTGGCAAACACGATCAAATGTTTGCCGCGAGCGCGATCGGTGCTCTCGTCGCAAGTAAGGCCGATGAATGGTGAAGCGAGAAGATGCTGCAGCTGCCGTGTTTTCTGGTACTTATCCATCGCCGAGGCCATTTCGTTGAATCCATATCTGCCACAAGCCGTGGTGAAAGGGCTTAGACATAGATGGAATGCGAAACCATTGGTTGCGGCCTGGTATTTTGGCACACGCTTACTGTGTGATGTACACGCTGTAGGACTGAAGCGGGATGTCCTCGACTCCCTCCTCCGCGAGGAAGCCTATGAGCTTCGGAAACATCGCGATCGGTGCGTCGTGGTCGCAGATAAACTCCACGCCGCGCATGAGACGGGTCAGCCGCGCCCCCTCCTTGTCGGTATTGGCGAAGTCGTCGATCCTCTTCCGGTGCTCGATCTCCGCCATGAGCGTCCGCTGCCGCTTCATCGCTTCCTCGTGGCGGCCGCTCAGCTCGTGGCATCGCATTGATCCGAGCTGCAGATCACGCCCCCCCGTTCCGTTCCGTCCGAATTTCGCATCGTCCTTTCCATGCTCTACGCAGATGCTGCATCGCAGAATGGGCAGCCCGTCGTCGTTCTTGTCCAGTAGCAGCCAGCCAAATTTCGGCAGCCACTGCGTGATGTATAGCTGCTGCGCCTTCAAAAATCTCTCTTCAGCCTTCTCGGCGTCGGTGAGTTCACGGGAGACACGCTTCGGAGCTTGGACTGGAGCGGGCGGCGGAGTCGGTTTCGCTGGTGGCGTGCCGAGCGGTAGAACGGCCTGCGCGTAGCGACGCCTCTTCTTCGAGGCTGCAGACGATGACTCGCCCACCTCTGACACGCTGACAGTGGTGGGAGCACTGTCCGGTGCGACGGCATTGGAAGCAGGCGGGGGTGACAAACTCTGTTTCCCTTTGCTGCAAGAAGACGGGCCTGGAGTGACCACAGGCGGAGGGTTCGCATGCACCGCGCGCAGGAAATCTAGGCCTGTTCGTGCGGGCGCATCCTTCGATGGCTCGTCAGCAGCTTCTCCGTCGCCGTCCTCTGCAGGAGCCATGGCTGCTAAAGGACAAGAGGAGAACCGCCAACGTTGCTCTACTTGGCGTGAGTGCTGTGTTCTTGCGAGGTGAAACCTCGCACGTGTTCATGACCCCAGTCATTTCGCGCCTCTGTTTCCTAACGTGCACGCAAAAAGCAGCGGAGCCTGCCTCAGTCGTGCAAGGAACGCGGTGCCCAGTGGGCTAGTGGGCACTGAATTGTTGCTGCAGTCAGCCAAGTTTCCAGCCAACCCGGCCTTGTTGTCAAGTCTGACAAACAGACCAACTAGCGGAGGTGGCGGTGCCAGCAAAGAAACTGTAACCCTGGCCAATAGTGGCCCTCTGTGTGCCAGCACAGGAGTTGTCAAGGCCGAAATTCCGGCCTCAGTGGCCTTGGTGGAATCCCAGGTTACGGGAAAGGGGGGGTGGGTGAACCGGGGGGAAGGGGGGGGGGGTAGGTTACGCGTTACAGGGTAAAACTCGATACGGGATCCGTAAACCCTTCGCCATCAGTGTGCCTTACAAAAAAAACCTGACACATCAGGGTAAATCAACCTCCCCAAAAAAAAACCCTAGGCCATCAGTGTGACCATCAAAAACCACCCTGATTATCAGGGTGTCAAGGTGATTTACACTGATAAAATTTGCCCTGTTCGGGACTAGCCCGAGCCTCGCTGCCAGCATACGGTAGCACTAGCTAGCTCGCACGCACCGCGTTACCGTTTGCATGTTTCGCGTATAAATGTTCGCTCATGCCTTCGCTCACATCTTTGTACTCGTTTGATACCTTAGTGCAATTCTCGCTACTTAGATTCATTGCACCCGTAACAAATGTTCATATAGTACATAATTCTTCAGGTTGAATCATAACTTTCTTTTACGAGTGCAATTGAGTAAATGAACGGGAATTGCACTATCGAAGCAAGAATACAATGAGCGAAGGCATGAGCGAAGAATATATAGCGAAACTACAGTGGTAACGGTAATGGACTGTGGTTGTCGCGTGATGGTCCTGGGACTGAGGTTTGGGAAAGTGTCAAAGCGGAGGCCCGGAGCGCGGGTTACCAGCCGAGCCGTGAGGTTGGGGTGCGATGTGCGAAAATGGCGGGCTGATTGTCGATGCGAGGGTCACGAGTGGTAACGGTGCTGACTGTGGTGCTATAGTGATGTACGCGTTGAGTAGGGATGCGAAGTAAGGAAAAATGATTTTCCTTACACTTTCGCAATTTTTTACACTGTATGTACGGTACCCTGAACTACTAAAGGTTTGGTTAGTCTCCTGCAATGTCAGTTCAGCCTAGCCTTCAGAGCACGAGCTGTGCCCATGACTAACCGTAAGACTATGCGCCTGGCCAAGAAAGAAGTGCAAGCCATATAACAAACAGAAGAGCATGCTACGTTACATACCATATTCTAATGGATGAGACCACCTATTGAAAGCTTTCACATTTCCGCACAGGTCGTGTCACTTCTGTAATTTGACCCGTTGATGCTCCGCAATCTGGTAAGCTACCATGGCCCTCACGCGTTGGCGAAATCCAGGATACGGTTCAAACCCAAACCGCTCCAGCGCCTGCCACACGCACACAAAAAGGAATTTAAATATAAAAGCCACAGAAAGGCGACCCAGACACTGACGGTTAATGCAGGAGATGCTGACCTCAAGGAGTACGAAGAGTGGCGCCATGAGCAATGCCTGAGCCAAATTGTCCACTAGTGCAGGCGCTCTTTTCTGATAACGTAGAGGGAAAGGATAGGTGGGAGACGAGTGTATTAAATCGTAGAAAGACGATTGACACATGTTGCTTCATGTGATAGCGATCATGGGTTGTTGCAAGCACGCCCAAGATCAGAAGATGGTGCGGAGGGGGCCATGCACAAACAGACCCAGCGAACATGCAATGCAATTATGAGAACATGTGCACGGGCATGCAAAGGGGACTGACCTCGAAGACGCCATGGCCCAGAAACTGCCCGCCCCACGACACCACCTGTGCGATGACCGCGAGCTGATGGCGGAGGGGCGCGGCAGGGAGAACAGAGGAGAGAAGCAGTGGGAAGAGGGAAGAGGAGAGGGGCAGAGGAGAGGGGCAGAGGAGAGGGGCAGAGGAGAGGGGCAGAGGAGAGGAGCAGAGGAGAGGGGCAGAGGAGAGGGGCAGAGGAGAGGGGCAGAGGAGAGGGGCAGAGGAGAGGGGCAGAGGAGAGGGGCAGAGGAGAGAGGCAGAGGAGAGAGGCAGGGAGGGAGGGAGGGAGGGAAGCAGGGAGGATTGGCAGGGGGAGAGGACAGGGGAGAGAGGCAGGGTGATAGAACAGGGAGAGGGAGGAAAGGGGAGGTGGTTAACCCCTCAATCTCACAGCATTATCTCCGTCAAATTACTCAAGCAAACCTCTCTATCCTCCCCCCTCACTTGAACGTCGTGCTCCTCAACTCTTCCTCCTCCCACACAATTCCCCCAACCCAACCCCCTCTGGCAGCCCCGCGTGCACCTTCCACGCGCGCCCGGCGCCCACGGCTTTGATGAAGGCGCGCGAGCCCACGAAGCACCCGCCCACCATCAGCGCCGCGAGCGACCCCGCGCGCCGTTCCATCCCAATGTAGAACGCCGCGTACACCACCGACACCAGCGCCGCGCAGTTAAACACCAGCCCGCTGCCCGGAAGCGCGAGAGGAAGCGGTACAGGCACCTGCGGCACGAGCCTAGCTAAAGCGGCGAGGAGTGGGTGGCTGAGGGAGATTAAAGACGGCGTGTACTGGAGGAGGACGAGCGCGGAGAAGAGGATGGGCCACACAAAGACCATGTGGATCGCCTTGTTCACCGGGTCGTCGTGGTACGAGCCGTAAAACGCGTAGTGCTTCTCAAGATTGAACAGCGAGCGGAATGAGGAGAGAGCGGATGGGCTTGTAACGGGGATGGGGGCGGTCTTTTTGGGGTCAGGGGAGATGGGCACGTGAACGTCGTCCGCGGAAGGGTCTCTATCGCCGCCGGTGAGGTTGGCGGACGCGGAAGCCGGCGTGGCGGGGCGGAACGAATGGGCTGCGCGGAAAGGCAGGCAGGGAGGAAAAGGAAAGAAAAACAAGGCAAATTTGCATTGCTCACAGTTTCATGCCGAGATATCCTCTACGCACCAACGTCGCATATGGAAACCTTGCTTGAATGATTAACGAAAAGTTCTCTCGAAAATGCATGCGAGAATTAACAGTCGAAGGCGAATTAACAGTCCCGCGTTACACAGCGAGAGCAGGTAGCGCGCGGACCTTGCGGGTGGGTGTAGGGAGACGGAAAGATTTTGGCGAGAACGAAGCTTCGTACAACCGCGTAGTTCCTGGCAGGCGAGCCGGCCTGGCAAGCCCAGGAGTGCGAGGCAGCCGCGCCTTCCTTTAACGCGTCTCCTTTTAGCGCGTCTGCTCTCAGCGCGCCGGCAGCTCTGCACGTGCAAACGAACGACGGCGCCGCGGTTGACGCCATTCTTGCACGCAGACGCGGGGCTCGCAACAAGAGCTCGTGGTGGGAAGGAACGACGCTGGTGAGCGCGCAGCCCGAAGCAACAGCCAGTGGCGCCCACGGAGAGCGAGCAGAAAGGAGCGCGGAGCGGGGAGCGAAGAGGCAGCAGCACCAACCAACGATGATTCCGTCCCTCACCTTGCAGAAACCCAAAATTGTTCGTTGGTGCAATATATGGTACTGTAGGGAGCAGCTCAGTAGGGAGGGGCACCACGGCTGCTGCTCACGTCAGTGGTGTGTATGTGAGTCGATGTCGATGGGGCATGGAATGGAATTGGCGTGCGTGCAACGGGCATGTGAGTGTGCAGGAGAGCTGGAGGAGCATCTTCACCTGGTAGTCCTCCGCTTTGTGTGTGTGGGTGGGCATGGTCTCGCGACGCGATGTGGGGGCTGGGCTTCTTTCTCCGCCAATTGCACTATCCGCATTTCCGCCCGCGGGCTGTCCGTTCCGCTTCCTACATTGATGGCTCATGGCGCAGACGGCATAGGTGGGGTGGGGGGAACTAGAAAGATGAGCACCTGGCATGTGGGGCAAACTGCTGTACTCGTTTGTGGGAGCAGGCGAAACAGTTCAGGTCGCATGCGGCTGAAAGCGCTTCGTTGTGATTGGGCAGATGTTGTCAAACGACTGCTTCACGACGTGTCTGGGGAAGGCAGCGACTGAACATCGGGGCCGAACGACGGGAGGACAACACCCTTTTGCGTCAGCAACCTTTAGCAAAAGCACCCTGCTCACAGTCAACTGTGACTGTCCACAAAATCCGTTCTCTTTACTGCCAATACTAATACGGTGGAAGTTTTTTAGTGTAGCTATTTAGTGTGCTATTCTTGTACTACCTTGTACAGCACAAAACCTCCTGAACCTCACCTCACATGTGTCCATCCATACACCACCAACCTGTAACCCCCATCAGTTACTTTCCGCCAACCCCTCGCCACACACATCTCCACCTGTCTGCTCCGTTGCTGTTACACTACACTACCCCTATCCTGCCCTGCGATTTCTGCAGCCCTCCCTGATTTCTCATGCAGCGGCAGCAGGGGTTTGCCCCGTCAATCAAGTTGTGGGCCGTGAGTTGTGGAAGTTTGTAACCCTCTATCGCCTTTCCCTGGCTCGTGTGGGCATAACACTTTCTCTTATGCGCGCTTGTGTTACAAGTTCTGCTGCTTACCTTGACCTGCATGTCTTCGCAGCGCCTTTCTATTCGAATTTCAAGTTTCAACTCAATGTTTCGAAATCAGCTCATAGGTTCAGTTTTGACGCGCTTCCTGCTTCTCACTTGCAGCTGTTTTCCTCCTGAGACCTTCACGCACTCAGTCTTCGTGTTTCCACTTCTAGTTGTCCGATTCTTTTAGCCTAGCAGCTTGAGCACAGCGTTTCTTCTCTTTCCTTGGTTCACCATGGAAGTCCAGCACACATTGTCAACGCATGACCCGCTCACCGTCACAGGATCACCAGCAGTAACAGCAGCTCCACCCATCGGAGCGGCATCCCTGACGGCGCAAGCAGCAACGGCAGATGTCACGTCGGCACCTGATGTTCCCGCATTAACAGTCGCATCATTCGCTGAAACCGCAGCGCGAACGGGCGAGGGTGGCGCGGATCTAGCGATTTTCACAACAGGAGACGCGGAAGCAGATGGAGCGGGAAACGACGCGAGCGGCGAGCATCCTTCGATGTCGCATCCCTCCTTGGAGCACCCGTATGCGGAATTCGCCGCCAATGGCTCCTTCCCTCCCCACGCGTCGACCGCGCCGACGCGGCTCGTAAACATGCCGTCTTACGTCAACTTCATCCGATCGGATCTCGCGCCGCGGCCGGACACGCAGCGTGCGCCCGTGATTCGTGTGCATCCGACGGTGTTCGAGGCGCTGCACGCGCTGCGCGAAGGGCTGCAGCTGTGCCGGCCCGCGAACCGCGTGAGCATCAGCGACGTGATCGACCACTTCCTGTGCTGCTCCGCGGAAGAGGTCGACCGGCTGCTGGAGCGCCGCGTTAAACACCGCCGCCAGATGCTAGCTCTGGTGCAGCAGCAGCAGCAGCAAGGGCAGGGACAGACGCAGGGACAGGGACAGGCGCAGGGCGAGGAGCAAGGGCAGGGTCTAGGACAGGGGCCGGGGCAGGATGGCCAGCTGGCAGTTGCCCAGCAAATGGATGGCGGACACGTGGCAGTGCAGCAGGAGCAGGCGGGGCAGGGTGGGGAGGGTGAGGCATTTCCTCCCAGGAGTGTTGCTGCCGGTTACCCGTATTCGTACTCGGCACTCATTCCCCCCATGGTGCAACCCGAGCAGCAGAGGCGCAAGCGGCTGCGGCGGCACGTGCAGCCCCCCGCAACTCAGAGGAAGCTGCTGCAGCTGCTGCAGCAGCAGGAGCAGTTCCACCCCGGCCCTGCCCCACTGCAGCAGCCCTTGCCTTTCCTACACCAGGTGCAGGAGCCGCAGCAGGTGCATGATCAGCAGCAACAGCAGCAGCAACCCCAGCAACAAATGCAGCAGCAACCGCAACAGCAACAGCATCAAGAGCCGCAGCAACAGCAGATGCAAGGGGATCAGCAGCAGCAGCAGCAGGGTGCGGGTCACAGGGCATTGCAGTGGGGCTCTGGACCCATACCCAACTACGCGTCTCAGTAGCAACCCCATGCCAAATACACTTGTTTTCACTCCATGAGCACCCACCAGTTGCTGATGCAGCCTCTAGTGTCCCTTAGAGCACCATCGAGTATGCCTCTATTTGTAGCCACTGTTAGCACCTGACACGGTGATTATTCTCTGTAACACTTCCAGATGTTGCAGTTGTTTGTACCGGTATGCCTGCAATGCCACGGAGCTTATACGGCCATCTTGTTTTGTCCCTTGTACCTCAAGAAATTAGAATTGAAATCCTTCCATGAGGGCCTGAAACAAAGAGATCCATTAAATATCAACAGAATTTGCAAAACACTTACTGTACAAACTCGCAACAACAAATACCACTACAGGAACAGGGCTGCATCATTCTAGCTGCCATGCTGTGCTAAGCCAGGCAGCGATACACCTGCCAGTTAGCTGAGGTTAGTTGAGGTTAGCTGGGGTTGATAACTTAGCACCTTAACTGGAGCCACGGATGGGAGAGGAAGCAGCACCTTGACCAGCACTGCCTCTGCATCTGTCCCATGTGTTCCCTTCTCGTCTGGCTATTCCATGAGCCCACTGCACTCCTGCACGCTCCATGCAAGCATGCCTCTGCTGTCCCTGCACTCCCTCTCTCCTCACTCTTCACAGAAACTCAACACACACTCCACACAGCGCACTCTCACCCGCCTCACATCTCATCGTCACTCTGCCACGCATCCCTCTTCTGCCAGCCCTTGCCCGAGCCACCTCCGCTTCTTGATCCCTTTCCTCCTCCCCCTCCCCCCCCCCTGCTCCCCCTGTTCCTCCTGCTCTCCCTCTCCCACTTGCACCCTGTGCAACCAATGGCTGCCTGCCAGGTGGAAGCGGCAGAGCTGTCTGAACCTCCTCGTCATCATCATCGTCATCATCATAATCATCATCATCACCACCACCACCATCATCATCCTCGTCGTCATCATACTCATCATCATCATCATCCTCCCCCTCATCATCCTCCTCATCCTCCTCGTCTGTGTCTTCCACTCGTCCCTTCCCTTTCTCATACTCCCTCCCTCCTTTCCCCATCAGCCTCCCTTCTTCCATCGACTCAAACTCCTCCTCATCCTCCTCCTCATCCTCATCCACCCCTCCTGCCCTCCCTCCCCGCAGCGACATCTCTTCAGAAACGTCGTACACCTGCTGCTGGCCTGGCGAGCACCCCCCAAACGAAGACCCCTTCGAGCCTCGCGAACCTTTCGATCCTCCCGAGCCTGGCAGCAAGTTTCGGGTGCGCTTTGGGTCCACCGAGGCTGATAACGAGCCAGGCGGAGGGTCGGGCTCCGTGAGATGCGGCTCGGAGATGGCGAACTCTGCTTCGGCAGCCTTGGCTCGGAAGTTGGTTCGGGAGGGGGGGATCTCGGAGCAGAGGGCTTCGCCAACGTTGTTGAAGCAGCCGCGGCTGTAGGGGTTGGGCTTCTTGTCGTAGCGCCACCGGAAGTTCTCATACGTCGTCTGATGGCATTGTTTCAGGGGGAGAGGGGGTGGGAGTGGAGGGGAGGGGAGGGGAGGGGAGAGGAGGGGAGTTGAGGGTAGGGGAGGGGAAAGGGGAGAGGGTGATGGGGTGGATGGGGGAGAGAAGCACAGGAAGGAGGAACGGAAGGGCGTGGCACTGAAATGCAGAGCATGCAGGGAGGGAGATGCAAGTGGCACTGGTGCGGGCAAGTAAGGCGCTGGTATCCGTGCCCAGCTAACCCACCTGGTTGCGGCACATGAGGTAGATGTGAAAGCCTGACAGCCCCCCCACGAACCACACAGCGAGGAAGGTGAACCCCATGAGCACCACAGCCACGGGCGCCTGCCCCATGGCCTGCCACACCGTGCGCGTGCCGACTGCCGGGTCGTGTGCGTTGAACATGAGCTGGTTGATGAGGTACGCGGAGAAGGCGAACACGAATATGCAGAGCGCTGTTGTGGACAGGATGAAGGTGAAGAAGAACCGGTAGTTGCGCTGAAGCGGGAACAGGGGAGGGGGAAATGTCAAGGAGAGGGGGTGTGAAGAAGAGGGGAGAATAAGTGGGGAGGGGGGAGGAGGGAATCGGGAGGGTAAATTGTGCAGAAAGGAAGGAGATGGGGCGCAGAGGGGAGGGGCGATGCAGAAGTGAAGCAGGAGCTGTCACAACATGGAAAACTCAGCCCCCTCACCCACCCATTCAATACACTCGCCTCACCAGTCCTATGCACCCTCCTCACCCATCCAATCGCCTCACCCGCCCAATGCACTGGCCCACCCAGGGGCAGTGGTGGTCGAAGCGGTCAATGCAGTTGTCGCAGATGGAGCAGTGCGAGCAGCGCGGCGGGCGGTACAGCAGGCA